GTGCTCTCTGAATACAAAAACTGTGCTTTAAGGCAGTGCTGAATGAAGAATTAAAGACCTGGCACATTTCCTATCAATCTCTTGCATCATCTGCCCAAACCGAATACTCATAGAGAGGATGCAATTTACAGAGCTGTTTTATGACTTAAAACATGTACGTAGGAGATGCCACAGATTGTAACTATGAAAAAAACACTGAAATAAAAGACTTGTCAGGGAAAGAAAGCTGCACATCACAAAATAAAACATGGCAAAATTTCAGCACTCTGAATCACACACAAAAGACAGAAGGAGCAACAGCCAGCTTTTTTTTTTTTTTTTTTTTTTTTTTTGTAGTGCAGCATCACAGCCAATGTTCTGATGTAATGAAGAGTAGATACCTCCTGCCACAGGACGAGCTGCAACAAGCCTGCTGCCACAGCAGTTTAACTGTTGAGGAAGTGGCATTACCCCATAGGTGCATCAGCAAGATCTGTGTACTGAGCAGCTGTCAAGGCAGGGCTGTGGGGAGAACTCAATGACTGTGTCAGTGTGCTGGGAGAGCAGCCCAAGAATCTGGCAAACGTAATGGTGAAAATATCTCCGATCACCCCAGTGAAGAAGAGCTGTGGGTTTCCTTTCTTTCCTAGAGTGCTCAAGAACCATCACCACCATAACTATTCTTCAGCATAATGGGAATTATGAAGGTCTTCAAATAGTAAAGAACAGCACCAGACACAATCTGCACCCACCTAATTTAATGCTAAGCATTCAAATGAGCAGCTGCTCCTAGTCTCCACACTATTGCTCACCACAGAAACACATTGCCAGCTGATTTACCTCATTTTTTCCCACCTCAGTGCTAAGTTTCAGCTTTTCTCTACAGAAACACCTATTGTGATTGAGCAGAATAGAGTCTGCATTTATATATTTCATGCAGCTCCTGGGCTTTTCTGAAGGAGAGAAGGGCACCAAAACGTAAAGGATATCAGAAGCTGCTGCTTCTCTGCCACAGGCACCACAATCAACTTACCTTATAGCCCTCCAAGGTCTTCCTCCCATACTTGTATTCAAGTCAGCCCCTTCCAAGATGTCTTATCTGCCATCAACCTCTACAGCTATTTCCTCTGATGTAAGAAAACCACACTGACCCATGGTGAAAACTTCTTAAGGAGACAAATGTTCTGCCTTTTGCCCATTCTCTGCCAGGCACCCACACTAGCCCCAGTACTTGCCAGTATCAATCTCAGTACTTGCCCCTTTTAATGATCAGCTCAGTCTCATCTGCCAGGCAGTCCTCATTCTCTTACTCAGAGAACCAGCTGAATTGTTGATTCCTTCTCATGTTTTCTATATTTCTACCTATCTTTTCAGATGGACACTGCTCCCTCAACTCGTCTAATGTCCTTGCTGCATAGTTTTAAGAGCTTCTCCATAGGAAAGCCATCCAGGAGCCAAGGAAAACCTGAGCCCGGGCAGTGTCTGCACCAGCTAGACCACAGTCTCACAGGACCTAAGAGCAGCAGGCAGAGCCAGATGCTGACAACAGGATGCTACTGCCAGCCCTAGACAGGACAAAAAGATGACTCAGGCCTTGCACTCATCCTGAAAGGCCAGGCTGAATCAACAGGATACAGGACCAAAAACAAGACGACAACATCAGTTCAAGATCCACCAGGAAACTTGGCTGGACACAGAATGAGCAACAGGTATGTCCCAAACAACTCAAGCAAAACCAAATCAGGACTCTTTTATGACAGATCAGACAAGTTCCATATTTCTTCATGTAATAAGATCTCTGCCAACACTGCTCACTACAGTGAAGTCAACTCTGATTTAAATTATTATAATATGGTGTGGCTGGCCTAAGTGATTTGCTTGTTCTTCTGCCCTGATCTTATCTTATGCTGCTTTCACGTAAAGCATCATTTAACTTCACTCAGTTGTACTTTAAAAATGTGCATGTAGAAAAAGTATAGAAAATGTGAGGGCAGAGAGACCAGCCTCAGAGGATGCAACAAACAATACCAAACTGCCTCTAAGACTGTCTGACTGACTCTAAATGTTGATCAGTGTGAAGGAGCCTGATGTTAGATCTGCTCCTCTGCGGTTTTCACAGCTTGCTTGTTTTGGGTGGCATCTTAGAGCCTGTAACTCTCCAGAATGTAAGTAAACACATGCAAAACCTTAAAGAGCAGTATTTTCTAGTATGATTTGTCTCTGTCAAGGTGAGAGGGAGGAAAGAGAAAGCTGTCCCACTTCCTGGTGGGGAATGGGAACGTGGTTCCTGCTGGAGCCTGACCCGCATCCTGATGCACGTCTCCCACTCTGCAGGAAACAAATCCAATACACAGAGCAGCAACACAAGGCTTCTCAATGTATCATGGCCCTTGCTGGTGCTTGGGTCACCCTTAGCTCTCATCTAGGGTTTTCTGGTAGTGATGCCTTAGGACATCTTCAGTCCCCTTTTTGAGAAGTGCTCCCTTCCCACCACACAAGCAGCCTTGGTCCAGAGCACGCTCTTTTCACAAGACTAAAATGGGATGGATGGAGTGATATCTTCATTCCCCTGTGGGTCTAAGTGGCAAATATGTCACTGATCATCCCAGGAATGAGACAAATAACAGCAGTTCCTGCACGGACCAGATTCCCTTTCTTTGAAGCAAAATCCTGGGCTGATCCTCATCTTCGCTCTACCTTCTGGTTAAAAATACCTGACCTTGTGAAACTTCACAGCTGTCTCTGGGCAGCCAGCCCCTCCCTGTCCAGTAAAACACCCGTGGAGGTCTACTGAGGACCAGGCAGTTGTGCCTGTCTCCACGTGTGGCTGCCCTTGATCTGATATCCCCCTGATACTGGCTCCTCCTATTTTTAATCTTCTCCCACAGCTTGATAACCTACTTGTTATGCACCTACACGGACACATGCACTAACCTGCCGGGGGGGATGGAGGGCGGGGGCTGCTGGCGGGTGGATGTGGCTGTGCTCACCCCCACCCCCTGCCCAGGAGCTGCGGCGCCGCGCTGAGGGGCTGTAGCGCGGGCTGCTGCTCTCCATCTCCAGTGATGGACGGGCTTTGGATGCTGCTCGCGAAGCAGTGGGAAGGAATGCTCTGTAGTGCCGACACATCTCCCCGGGACTGCTGTTTATCGAGGCGGAGGGAAAACACGCTGCCGTAATATTGAGCTTTTAATAAGTCAGTAAGTGATCAAATAAATCAGCACTTCCCGCACGAAACACAAGCGGTCTCGTTCACCAGCGGGAGGCTGAGCGGCGGCGCTCCTCGCTCCGCTGCCCGCGGTGGTGTAAGAAAACCGTGGGTGAATGGGAAGCTCGGGGTTTCCCTGGCACTCAGCCGTGCGGGCTGCGACTGCGGCGCCTGCCAGGGCGGGGGTGCCGCTGCCGCCGCCGCCGCCCCGCCTGTCCGCGCCTCTCCGCGGCTGCGGGCCGGCCGCCCCGCGGTGTCCCCTCACACCCGCCGCGTTACGCAACCGCGGGTCACCGCGGCGGCTCTGGCTGTCCCTCACCCCGGGCTGCCACGGGACACCGCGCCGTGATCCCGGCCGGCTGGGCCGCCGCGCCCCTCCCGCCCCGCGCAGAGCCGCGCACGGCACCGCCCGCGCTCCGCAGCGGCCGGCGGAGGCTGCGCGGCCCCGGGAGCAGCCCCGCGCTCCCGCCGCGGGCTCCCCGCCTGTCCCCCAGCGGCAGCAGCCCCGTGAGCGCTCCGGGCGGGTGGCGGTGGGTGCGCGGGGCCGGCCCTGGCCGCCAGCACCGCGCCCAGCCCCGCGCTCGGCGGAAAACAGCGCGCACTGTCAGCCCGTTATCCTGAATGGGAGAGTGATTCCCACGCCCAGTTTGCTCAGAGATTTTCAACAGCTCTATACCGTGCAAGCGAGAAGATTCAGTCAGAAGAAAGTGCCTTCTTTTTTTAAAAAAAATTATTTTATTTATTTGTTTCTTTATTTACCAGAGCGCCCACCGCACAAGAGGGTAAAGGGATACCCTATTCAGTCAACTGGGTACTCCTCACGGCTGGGCAATGGCTCCCTGTTCCCTACTGTCTTTGTAGCAAATGCTGCTTTTGGGGGACAGGGGATCCAGACATCACCGGGCTCGCAGGGGTGGCACGGGGCATCCCCGCTACCTTTCTCTCTGTCTTCCCTGTGCAGACCGCCCCCGCTGCCCAGGGTGCGGGGGAGGAAGAAAGGCTGCGGAGGAGGAAGGGGGGGCTGCCGAGGCGGTGCGTGTCCCCCCCGCCGCCCCCTCGCTGCGGCAGCACGTGGTGCTCCCGGGACGCGGGTCCTCAGACGCCCCCCCTGCCCAGCCAGCCAGTCTCCTTCGCGAGGAGCTTTTTATAGCAGCCCCGACCCGCTCCCCGATGGGAGGTTTCTCGCCGCGCTCACGTTACCGTGCGGGTGCGATGTTAAATAAAGGAGGGGGAGGAGGGGAAGGGAGTTCGGCGGGCGCCTAATTAAGAGCCGGCGTTAACCAGGAGGGCTAAAAATAGCGCCGAGCGCTGCAAGCCACCCAACCGCAGACAGCAAGCCCCGTCGATCCCTGCCGCGCCTCCGCCGGTGAATGGAGCGGCCGGCTCTGAATGGAGCGGCCGGGAGCATGAATGGGGAAGCGGAGCGCGGCGTGAATGGGGCGGCGCGGGCGCCGCGGGGGGGCGCTGTGGCGCCGCGCGGCAGCAGCTGGAGCCCCGGCCGCGCACGTGCCGGCGCGGGGGCGGCTCGGTGTCACCTGGCGGCAGCGGTGGCGGCGGGCGGGGCGGCGGCGCGGGCGGGCTATAAAAGTGTCCCGCCGCGGCACATGCACACTTCGGGGAAACTTCCTGCCGGAGCGCCGGCCGCCATGGGAGGTGCGCCCGGTCCTGCCGGCCCCGCTCCGCCCTAGGGCGGGCAGCCCCGCGGCGCAGGGCGACCGCGACCCCTGACCTGCCCTGCCCCGCCGGAGGCTGGGCTGGCGAGCGCGCCCGCCCCGCCGGTAGCCGGTTGTGCCCGGGGCGGCTCGGTGGCAGGATGAGAGTGAACGAGAGCGAGCTGAACAGCTCCGTCCTCCCGCGGGACCCGCCGGCCGAGGGCGCCCCGCGCCGCCAGCCCTGGGTGACCTCCACTTTGGCCGCCATCCTCATCTTCACCATCGCGGTGGACCTGCTGGGGAACCTCTTGGTCATCCTCTCCGTCTACCGCAACAAGAAGCTGCGAAACGCGGGTAAGGGGCGGCGGGGAGGCCCGGGGCGCCGCCCGGGCTGGGGTGGGTGGGGGTCCCGTGGCCTCTTCGCCTGCCGCTGAAACTTTCCCCGAGCGCGGAACTCCGGGCTTGGGCTCTTTGTCTCCATCCCCAGCTGGCGGTTATAGGCTGTGACAGATGCCAAGAGCTCCGTCTTTCCTGCCGAGTCGGTAATCGAGCGGGAAAAGGGTATTTTTAGCTCCAGCCACTGAATCCTGGTGCTATTTTTAGCTCTCGGCAGTTCCCACCTAGCAAAAGAGAATGGCGAGTAAGTAGTATTTAAGAATTAAATTTAGGCATGGTATCGGGGATGCTGCCTTGGCATACAGTGTGTGTCTGTGCATGCTGGATGCTATTCTTCTGATTTATTTTCTTTGAGTTACAGAAATGTCTTCAGTAACAAATTCTATGGTTGGAGCTTCAAATCAAGCAAATACGGAGTTATAAACATTGCAGGATTCAGACAATTCCCTCCCCCCACCTTTGTTCGCCTCCTACTTGCTGTCTAGGTCTTTTGCGGAATGGAAAACATCTAACAGAAAACAGCTTTAGGCACTTTTAAAAAAAAATCAGTCTCTAATTTTGACAGGATAGAATCTGTGCTGGTCTACTGAGTAAATCCCTCTTAGTTCATGGATTATTGGTCAGACAGGCAGGAACTTCTTCAGATTCATTCTACTTTATCATGTCAGACCAGCTGCTGCGCACGTGTACCAAATCTGTGCGCTCCAAACCCTATGCATCTTTCATTGAAAAAAAATACAGGAGCATGGGAGGAGAGCTGTAATAAAAGCAGAATTTCACTGCTGAAAACTGAAAAGCTGCTTTTATTTCTTTTCACAACTGGGCTGTCAGGGTCTTCATTACTACTGCACTAAGTTAATTAGTTAATGCTTTAAAATTCCTCTGAGGGGGAACTTGAGCCTGGGGTTTGAGCTAGTCTAAGAAAGGTATCTAGTATTGGACTCTGGCAAACAGTGGCATGCTTATCTTTCTAAGGTTAATTCAGGTAATTCTAGTGAGTTGTCTGCTTCAGTTTCATTCAGCCATAGTGGAATGCCATACACAAGATCAAAATGAAGAGTAACAGATTTTAATTTTTTCTTCCCTACAATTGCCACTGGTGTAAATTCTGAAAGCTATATTATCTTCTTGCTTTCATTGGCAGAAATTTCATTCACTGGAGCTGTCAGGGTAACACGTGCATGTAATTGAGAGGAGACTCCAACTCCAGAAGTCCAAGTGAGCACTTGACTACCCTTGTTCCCGGGAGCATTTTTAGATGGAGGGAGACAGGATTGAGACAGGCCTATTACTTGGGTTACTCTAGGGGAATGGGTGATATTGTCCTCCTCCTTAATTAATAAATCGATGCTTTAGTACCTCTGTGGGTAGTTTGCAGTATGGATAAGTCTGGTACAGTCTGAAATAAACATGGTGTGTTTTTTCTGGAGATATAACTGAATCCTTGGGCTCTATGTATGCACATAATCTCTGCTGTAGATACTGTGTAATTCCTCCTGAATCAAAACACGTGCTCACTCTTACTGCATTTCTTGTTCTTGCCTTTTCTGTCATAGTGACTGTTAAGAGCTGCAATAAACTGGCAACAGCTAGGAGAGTAGAGCATTCTTCTGAACATAAATTGTTTGAGACTGGAACATGAACTAGATAACTGCTTGACCCTCTGAAATGAAGGATTAATTAAAACAAGAACATACTTGGTACAATGTGGTGAATAGTTTATAGTCTTGATTTAGGAAAAAATAAGAGCAAGCTTTTAAAGTTCTTAAGTTTGAGGTTTTTTTCTTTAAAATATGGGGGGGGTTAGTAAATGGATTAAAGGAATTTTTGGAAACAAGTTTTAAAAAGGTGTTGTAAGTGTTTTTGACTAATCCTACAAAAACCTGTGCCTAGGAATAACTTTATTTATGAGCACCACTATTTAATTGGGCACCACTGTTTAATTGAGCCTTCAATTAGGGCTTACTCAGGCAAATAAATTTATAACAGGGAGCAAGTTATTTAGAAGACCCTGGCCTCATATATGTAAGTTTGAAGACTAAAGTCTCCCAAGTCTTGGTTTCCTAATTCAGATTATTCAGGAAGAGATTACATTGAAAATAATCTGATTTATCCATACAACTAATTTATAACTTGGTAATGCCAAAGGCAGTTACAACTTTTTACAGAAATGTAATAAGAAAGAAACTTCTACTTTTGCAACAACTTATATTAATTAAGTCTTGCTGGCACATTTATTGAGGAAAAAGGACACAGGATGAAAATTCCACTGGAAAAAGGTCAGGGAGGAACAGAAGATACCTCCTGAAGAAAATGTATCTCAATGAAGATTTTCTTCCCTCTTTGCAAGAGAGGACTAACAGAAATAAGGAGTATTTAACCCTTTCACAAAAAAAGGTGGATTTGGTGGGGGAAAACATCTCTCATCTCTGTCCTACTCTCTATTGTATACTTATGTATTGGAAGATACTGCAAATTGAACCTGTGGACGTACAATTTAAAAAGTGCATTGGGGAATAGTAGGAAGGCCTAGAAAAACCTTCTCAACAAGTGGTGTAACCTTCCTGACAGTCAGAAGGTTAGTAAAAGACACTGATCAAAGCAGAGAAGTCAGTAACTCAAAGAAGTTTGTCTCAGCAAGCGAGGAGTGTCTGATACTACAGACTCCTTCATAGGCACAAGCATGGCTTCAATAGATGCTCTCCTAGACACAGAAGCTGATGATGCAACTGGTAGGATCCTCTTTTATTTAATGTACTTGACTTGTAATAAGTTTCATAGTTCTGGTCTGTTAATTCTTTTATGGTGGCTTGTAATCCAAGAGGTGCCTGACACCAATTCAGTCCTGATGGGAATGGCTGCAATTTGAAGCTGACCTACACAAAGACTGAATTTGGTTTTGGATATATGTAATCTTTTAACTTTGAAACAAAGTTCAAGGGAAACATTCAAGGCATAAGGATTTTAATGACCATATCTTGGTAGCATATTCATGCAGCTTGAACTTTAAACTGCTGTGCCTTCTTTAATAGCTTATTTTTGAAAAGAATCAGAGCAGATCATTTTTAACAAGTTTTGTGTAAATCATTGTCTCATTTACCCTTATATTCATAGATCAGAAATAAGGTCATTCAACAGATCCACCCTGGGAAGATGCAATAACTAGCTTTAGGGAAGGAGTATTGAAAAACTGTTAGTACTTTTAACAAGTGAAATTTCTACTTGAAACTGTCAGCATCGAATCAGAGCATCTCAGAAAACTGAGGCGATCATTTAAGTGATTTATGTAATACTACACACAAATTTGGTGTTTGCTGGTATCCTTATGCCTTTGTTGTTACCCACACCAAGAAAAACAATGCATCAAGAACAAGGTGAGGGAGCAGTTCTAAGTCCTTGACTATGGAGATTAGTTTTCTGGTAGTGACATTAAAATGTCAACACACACCTGTTCTTTTGGTGACAGGTGGATTTGGGTATTCAGTGTTTGCAGGACTGGACCATTCGAAAAGTCAGTGATGAAAGTTTTCTTGAATGGTATTACACCTCTTGCTCTTCTTTCTCTTCATTTTGAAACTGTTCTCTTGGCCTGGTGGGTTGCTTTTTTTCTGGGTGCTTCATGTGCTGAGGTCCAGAGGTTCCCTGACTGCCCCCTCCAGTGGAGTCCAGTGTGGGAAGGGAGGCCCAGCAGGCTCAGCCTCACTCCTGTGTGCCTGTCCTGTCTGCTAGCACTTGGCATGGCTTGGGATAGTCCAGAGACTGGTGCCAAGCTGGTAACCAGCACCTACTAAATTAGGGCAGAAAGCTGCATTCACCTGCTTCTCACTGATCTCTGTTCTGTGCTAGGTGTATTTGGGTTTTTGTACTTTTTTTCTAGTTTTCCACGTCCTTGGCCCAAATGTTTTGTTGCTAAAACTGTGTTACTAGTGAAGAAGGCATAGAGGAACTTTGACATTGCTGAGGCCCCAGGGCCCTGGGCAATTAACTTCACTAGGACTGCACACATGCTTAAACTTACCTATGTGTGGTAACTACTTTTCTGAATGAGATGACAATGACAAAGGGAAAAATCCCCAATGTTTGTATGCTCAGCCTGCCTCACCTGCTTTAGATCCCAAGAGTTCTGTGAAGACAGCTCTGTGAGTGCTCAAAAGAATACAATGAACTCAAGGGTAATATTGAGTTAGGGTAACCTCTAAAATCTCTTCAGATCAGTGAAGTCACTCTTGAAAGAACTAAGTAACACAGCTACTTATGATTTTTTTTTTTTTCATTCTTTGCTGAATATTGCAGCCATTGCAGAATTAGGGTTGGGAATCTATCAATAAGAATTTCATTTCGGGGACTTTTCAAACTAGCCCTGGGTTTTGATTTAAGCAGTATAAGAATCTAGTTGAAGAGTGCTCCTCTCTTAATGCATCTTCTAGAATAAAAATTTTAAAAATAATGGAGCTATCTTTTGATAACCAGATTGGAGATATTATCAGCCTTTTCAGAAAAAATGTTGTTCTTGATGATGTTTTGTTTTTTAGTTTTAAAACTCTAATGTTAAATGCTCTAGTAAAGCTTGTTTTGTCTAATAAATGAAACTCCTTTTGTGAACTGAGACTAATGAAATCATTCTTTTTGTCACAGGTGAACCTTGGACTTCATTTTGTGCCCTGAGAGACTATGGGTAGCCCGACAAATCCTTGACTCAAGGAAGAGAGCTTAGAAGATCAAGTCATAGCACAAATTCAGGGTTCTGATAAAAACTGAGATGTTGATGGCAATGAACATTATTTCAGAAATTAATAACTTCCAGTATTAAAAATGGTAAGCTGTTTGGGAGAAAGGAAAAAGTCTAGAGGAGATGCTGAGTTTTGCCAGTTGTTGAACAGAAGTGAGCATAAAAATACAGTTTCAATAAAGTTGTTCCTCAGACTGGTTTTGATTGAATAATTTACTGAATCAAAGAT